TTCTGTGTTTTCTTTGGTCTGTCTCTCAATCCTTTGAAGATACCTAAAGATAATTCTTTTGAATTCCTTATCAGAGAGTTCCAATGCTGCTTCTTCCTCGGGGATGTGTTCTGGGTCTGTATCCTGCTCCCTTGTTTCTACCACTTTATCCTGCTTCAAACTAAAAAGGTTGGCAGTCCGAACCCATCAGTCATTCGGTCTGCTTTCCTTGAAAACCCTATGGGGAGTTTTACTTTGTCCTATAGTGTCACTATGAGTCGGAATTGATTCAATGGTAATGGGTTTGGGGTTTTTTTTTTTTTTTTTGGAAATAGGCTCTGTATGTGTCAGCACCTTTCCCCCACTTATTCCTGCCCCCACACTAATGCCACCTCCTTCTCTGCACTATAGCACATGGTCCCCTGGGCACATTAATGTAAAGGTGTGCAGAAAGAGTGGGAGACCCAGGCGTTTGGTCCATACCTCATCGAGGGCACCGTCCTTGTCCTGGCAGATGGCAAGCAGATAGATGGAGGCTCTGAAGACCACTGGTGGGGGACGCTCGCCCTGGTCCTGCAGAGACAGGAGAAAGCCTTGCACGGCCACAAATAATTCTGCCTCGGAAACAAACCTGGTGATCAAGGAGAGCCTGAGTGAGAATGACAGACACCAGGCCGGTGGGCTCTTGTGTGCTGCCTTCCCACACGCCCCCACAGCCGAGTCCCTCTGCCCTAGCACATCCACAACCTAACGACAGCTTGCCCAAAGAGTGTGGTGTTACTCAGAAAGCAATGCCCATCACATATATCCCATACTTCTAAGCTTTGTGCAGGGCTGTGTCGGGGCCAGACTCCTCACTCATGTTGGGAGGAAAGGCGTCTGGCCACCATATTAGGACATCAAAGGGGTTCAGGAGCTCTGTTTCCTCCTCTCTCCTTGCATCTCTTATCCACAAGCACTGCTGTGTTCATGGAGTTATCTTCTGTGTGTGTATGTGTGTGTGTATGGGGGGTATCAATGCTTGCACATGCAAGGGAGACAGAGGTGAGGAGGACACTGACTTTTCACTATACACCCTGGTATACTTTTTGAATTGTGCACCATGGGCATGTCTCACCCACCAGATTAAGTACCTAAAAAAATTAGATATTTAAAAATGGATAATACTAAATGCAATGTGACACCCTGGATTGTGTCCTAGAACAGAAAAAAAGATGGTAAAGGAAAACTAGATGAAATCTGAATGAAGTTTAGCACTGATGCTGGTTTCTGGTATTGGGGGGTGTCTGCCTCTATGCCTCCCATCCAGCCAAGTAAAGCTCTAAGTAAAGCTCCTGGCCTAACACATGCTCTAATAAGGAGGCTGGGAGTTGAATCCCCTTCTCTCTCCCAGTTTCTTCTACTTTTCAGAGATGTTTCCCCCTGCTCTGGGCACATGGAAACTCTGTCTCTTGCACATTCACTTAAATACCAGGAGGTATGTCAGTTAGCTAACTTAAGTTCTTAAAATCAAACATGCTAAATTTATAAATCCAATTTAAAATTTTGAAGGTATTGAATCAAGTAAGATTAAAAATGGGTCAAATACTAAAGGTATTTTAAAAGGTGATTATTTATTAGACTCGTAAACAGAATACTTTATAAGGCAGAATAATTTATAAAGCTTAAGGAAAAATAGTGCTTTGATTTTGAAATTTTAATAAGTTGTATTAAAAAAAAAATTGCTGTTGAGTTGACTCTGACACATAGTGACCCTAGAGCTGCCCCATAGGGTTTCTAAGGCTATAAATCTTTACGGAAGCAGGCTGCCCCTGCAACAGCTAGAGGGTTCAAACCACTGACCTTCTGGTTAGCAGCCAAGCCATAAACCACTGCACCACCAGGGCTCCTTATAAATTGTATAAATAAAGAAACAAGTAAAACCAAACTCATTGCTGTTGAATTGATTCTGACCCTACAGAATAGAGTAGAACTGTCCCCCCGTAGGGTTTCCAAGACTGTAATCTCTATGGAAGCAGACTGCCTCACATCTTTCCCTTGCAGAGCAGCTGATGGGATCAAACCCTTGACCTTTTGGTCAGCAGTTGAGTGCTTAACCACTGCACTACCAGGGCTCCTTATAAACTGTATAAACCCACTGCCATTGAGTCTATTACAATTCATAGTGACACTCACTGGGTTTCCAGGGCTATAAATCTTTATGGAAGTAGATTGCCTCATCTTCCTCCCATGGAGTAGCTGGTGGGTTTGAACTGCTGACCTTCTGATTAGCAGCCAAATGCCTTAACCACTATGCCACCAGAGCTCCTTTTTATAAATAGTATAAACCCACCCATTGCCATCAAGTCAGATCCAACTCATAATGACCCCTCCTTGGGTTTCCGAGGCAGTATCACTACGGAAGTAGATTGCCCAGCCTTTCTTCCCACGAGTGGCTGGTGGGTTTGAACCACCAGCCTTCTGGTTGGCAGTAAAATGCCTTAGGCACTACGCCACCAGAGCACCCATAAATAGTACAGTAACTCTTAAAACCAAAGTAAACCACTGAAGTCGTTTTCTGTGCACAAACACTATCCTCAAGACTATCCCGACTCACACTAGCATTCTGCCTCTCTCAGCACTGCGTCTACCCACCATCTCACCTCCGTGTCTAAGATATGAGCCCCTTGGGGATACAACCCATGTGTCACATATCTCTGTGTCCCTAGTGCCCAGCACCAGGCTTGGAGAGGATGTCTCTGCGAATATTTACTGAACTGAACTGGGCTGCGGGCACAGGCCCAGCACCCACCACCAGCTGCCACTCTGAGCACTGACCTGTCCCCATGGATGCAGGCCAGGTAGAAGAGAAGCAGGATGCAATACTGTCGCTTGCGAGCCGCTCCCTCCACATACTGGCGATCAGACAGGAAGGCAAGGCTTTCGGGCACCCTGCTGCTTATCTGGGGCAGCCCTAGCTGCAGGAGTTCAGAGAGTGCAGAGAGCTCTGGAAAGGGAACAAGCAGGAAAAGTCAGAGAGCGCTGGAGAGCAGCAAATGAACACGAGTCCCTATGACAGGTGGAGACCCAGGCAGGGCAGGGAGGCTGCCAGCAGGACAGAAGGAAATCAGAGCCCTCTTCCTAATGCAGCTTTCAGCCAAACAGTCTATCGTCAGCACATGGAAGGACACAGAATTGCCTCAAAAAGAGCTTCACGCATGCAGTCATTCATTCACTCATTTGACAAACTTTCATGGAATAGCTCTTCGAGGCTAGGCTGTGAGACCCTGGTCCTAACTCCAGGAGCTGGCAGCTGATGGGAAGAGACAGATAAGAGACAGACAAGGACCATACAAGTGATGGGTACCAAATTCAAAGTGAGGAGAAAGGACTGACCCATGCTGCCTGAGGGCAAGGCTCACAGAAGAGGGGTCTGTGGAAAGGAGGCTGGAAACAAGCAGAGAAGGGAGGAAAGAGAGTACTAGGGAGCAAGGACAGGGTGTTCAGAGGCCTAGAAGCAAGTCGTTCAGTGTGACTGGACCAGCAGTGAAGAGACATGGGGCCAGGAGTTGAGGAACTGAGTGATGTAATTTTAGCTAGAATACGAAAGACCTAGAATGCTGTTGAAAGAATTTGGATTTTATACTGAAGGGCGGAGATTCCTAGATTTTTTTATGAAACCTCTGTTTCAGAAAAGGAAAACCAAAAACGAACCCATTGCCACTGAGTTGATCCCAACTCAGAGTGACCTCACAGGTCAAAGCAGAACTGCCCATAGGGTTTCCAAGGCTGTAAATCTTTATAGACCCAGACTGCCACGTCTTTCTCCTGTTTAACCACTGCATCAGTAGAGCTCCCTGTATAAATACCAAAAGTGTAAAATTTGAATAAAGCCAACTTTATGGGAAATTCACTATACTGCCCTTCTTTTCCACGTTTCACCATGAATCAGAGGAAACCCCATCACTATCTGACAATGTTCCACAGACTGATGTTGGGCACCACACTTAAAGGCCAGGGGAGCTTATATATTCCAGACTTGGGTTCCAGACAGATCATTCTAGCAGTAGTGAAGATGTCTGGAGGATAAGAGGCTGAAAGCCGGGAGCTGAGCTGGAGGTTCACTGCAAAGGCCCATCACACTAGGGGAGTGGACTCAGGGCCAAAGCCATGGGCAAGTGTAGGGTGAGGAGGAAGGATGTCTTCTAGAAATTTGGCAGCAGAGTCAGGTCAGGTCCCCTGATTCCAAGTTTAGTGCTTTTCCATTAAACCACATTATCATGATGACTACTGGCACCAACATCTTGGATCCTGACTCATCTGCTTGTCCTTTGCTTTTGATGTATAAGAGAAAGAAAAGGTCAGCATGTACGCTCTGCTGCTCTTCCTCCTGCTCTGAGATGTGCCGAGATTTTGGTGTCTTAAGGGGGCAGATGTATTGGGCTTCTCCGATCAGACAGGAGAGGTGCTCCCAGCAGCAGTGGAACAGAACCGGTGAGCACAAGAGGCTGCATGACAAGGCTGCCAACATGGTCTTAGGCTGCTGTAGTGTAAGTCACAGTGCCATCTCCTTTCCAGATCAAACTGCAGCTGAGCCGTTAGAGGACTGGACACGTGCTAGAGGAGTGGCCAGTGTAGGCAGAGAACCAGAGCCAAGCCATGGCAGAACCAGTGTTTCGTTCTGTTGTAGGTAGGGTCACCATGAGCTGGAACAGCACTTGGTAACAACAACAACACTGTTGCCCTCTCTTTCCATGAGAGTGAGGGCTTTGTATCCCTACCTCATTACTTATACCTGGAACAATGTACGACACACAGTGGATGCTCAAGAACTATTTCTGGAATGAATGAACAAAGAAACGGAACAGGCTGCTCAAAAGACAGTAAGCACCAGTCTCTGGAAGTGAATAAGCAGAGGGCAGGAGGTCTTATGATGGGGATGATGCAGAGAGATGGCTGGAGTGCGGAAAGAATTAGACTTGATCTTTAGGATCCTTCTCAGCCCTGGGGTTCTAAGGTGCCAGGAGTCTCAGATTCCCTCGTTTTCTGATTCTGTTATTTCACCACCCTAAGACTTAGCCTATGGCTCCACCATTCCATGATTCCATGGTTCCTCTGGGTAGTTCCAAGCAAAAGGCCTTAGTATTTGTCTTAGTCCTCTAGTGCTGCTATAACAGAAATATCACAGGGGGATGGCTGCAACAAACAGAAATGCATTTGCTCATAGCTTAGGGGTGTGATGTCCACATTCAGGGCACTGGCTCTAGAGGAAAGCGTTCCCTCTCTGTGTCGGCTCTGGGGAAAGTCCTTGCTTCCTGGCTCCATGGGGATCTTCATGTGCCAGAATCGATCTATTTTTCTCCATCTCTGCTTGCTTGCCTGTCCTAATCTCTTCTATATTTGAATCAAAAGAGATTGACTCAAAATAAACCCTACACTTCCTCATTAATATAACAAACCTGTTCCCGAATGGGATTACAACCACAGGCACTGAAGTTAGGATTTACAACACATATTTTGGGGGGACAAAATTCAATCCATAACACTATTGCACTAACTCACTACCCAGCCAGTCAACCAGGTATCCATACCACTAGAAGGCCAGGCTTGCAGGTTCTGACCACATGGAACTCACATGCAGTCAAACTGTAGAACCTTACCTTCTTGAGAAGGCGGTCTTGTCTTCTCTGGAGCAGAGAGGAGACTGAGGCACATGTAGCAGAGGAAACCGGAACACGCCTGGTTTAGGGCTGAGTGACTTAGGGGAGAAGAGGAAGAACGGACAAGAGAAATGACATTGCTACTTTGGCTCAGATGGTTTTATGCTTGCAATGAGCCCGGGGAACCACTGTTATTGGCCCGGAGCCCAGTGAATTAATTCTAAGCATCATAGGTAGTTCCATTGTCATGGTAGAGGAGGGCCTGAGATGGCTGTAAAAAGTAAATAAGGAATGTGCTGCCCAAAGCTGTAAGTTGGGCACTTGGCCCTCACTAAAAATTTACTGGAAAAACAAATCTAGGAGGCATGCTAGGCTCCAATATAACAAAACAGGCTACAGGAGTACAAGAAAGACGGGATTTTGCTAAATCCTAGACAAGACAGGTAGTCAAGGAGTACCACAAACATCCTAACTTTTGACTTTGAACCACAATCCAAATGGGCCCCAACATTCTATCCTGAACAGAGATACGGGAGGAGAGCCGGACACAACCTGGTAGTCCTCTGTGGCCCGTGGGCAGGAGCAAGCAGACTGTGCCAAGGAGATGCAGAGACAGGGGCAGGTCAGAAATGGGACATTACAGAGACCACTCCAGAAACCTAACAAGACAGAGACTGAGGCAGCAACCTCTCGACTGTGCTCAAGAGAGTTTCTTCAGACACTGCTGGGCTGGCAGTACTTACAACATGATGGTCTCTTAATGGACACAGGATCTTAGAAGCTGATACAGGAAACAAATGGAAGACAACCCAGTACACAGAAAAAGCACCTGAGTGGCAGCAAAAGGCCCATGTTGAAATCCCATCTGCTGACCACACGGCCTTGGGCCTGTCCCTACCCCTCTGAGGGGCTTCAGTTTCCTCACCTGTAAAATGAGGGATTAGAAAATTATCCCTAAGATCCCTAAGTTTTAATGTGACAGAGTGCCCATACTGTCTCACATAGAAAAAGAAGCCCTACCTGAACCAGATTATATACAACCTACAGAAGCATGTCCAGCTCACAGCTCCAGTTGTTGTGTCAGTCTCCTCATAGTTCGATGACTACTGTATTTTCACACAAATAACGTGTATGTTGCATGTTTTCTGCCAACCATGCCCTTTTCCCCCTTGTAAAGTATTTTCTTAAGGATGCCATACTAATCTTTTTTATAGCAACATGTAAAAAAATTAGCATGGCATGCTTATGAAAATACCTGGGGGTAAAGGAGAAAATGAATGGCAAAAAAAACCCCTAGGATATGTGTGCATTATGTGCCTGACAAATACAGTAAGTACACTAGCCAGAAATTCCACTTGTTCAGTCAAGAAAAATGTTGGCCGTTCAGTTTTGCTTGAGATCCTACATACCTCAGGTCACTGCAGAACCTGGCCTTCAGCTCCAGGGTCAGTCGTATGAAGGACGAGGCAGCTTGGGAGGAATGGGAAGAAAGCAGAGGGCCATAAACCAGATCTGTTACAGAGTCCCAAGTTTGGAAGCATTAAAGAGCACTGGTTTTAGAGTCATACTGGATTCAAATTTTGCTCCAACACTATCTACTAGTGTGACTCTGGAACGGTCATTTAACGTCCTCTGCCATGCAGTTCTGACATGTGGAAGACAGATGTAGAACAGCTACAAATGCTTTGCTCACAAAGGGTGTGTTGTGGGCTCTGAGCTGGAACCCCCCTGGCGTTCTCAGAGAAATACCAATAACTTAAGAATTGCCTTTCAAAAAAAAAAAAAAACGAAGGTGGGGACCAGGTTTGCTGGTCCAATAGAGCCTGGTGGAACCACTGAGACTATGGCCCCTAGCTGCCCTGCAGGTCTGGAATGGAAGCCACACCTGTGGTTTCCAGCTAAACAAAGTACAGGCATGTGAGTTAAACATTTACCTCAAGTAGATACACGCCTTGGAGAGAACAATCATGGGAGAAGGAAGGGCTGCTTATGCACAGGGAGACAGCTCAGGGCGCAGAAGAGTATGGAGGGATGGACACTGGGAAGAGGTAACTACGGGGAGAAAGTGGGAGGGGAGCTGTTGCATTGTAAATTTTGGTCAATGACATGAGACAAAGTATATTATGTGAACTGCTGTATGAAAAGTGAATTTACGCTGTAAATCTTCACCCAAATCAAAATAAAATTTAAAAAATAAAAATTAAAAAAAAAAGAATTGCCTTTGATGACTTTCGATTGCCAGATGAGATTTCCTCCCAGCCAACACTGAGCAAAGTGGATATTGATTCTGAATGAGTTTGGAAACATCCCATCTCACAGGGCATGCTCTAAAACACCTCCCCCTGGCCCAGCATCCACACTTGCCACTGCCTACCAAGCTTCTTGGAGAACTTCTCCCTCATGTGGGGAACGATGACCAAGAGGATGTGTAGAGTCGAGAGGAAAACTTCCATCAGGGCTGGCTGGGTGGCCTGCTCCATATGCCTCTGCAAAGAACGAAGGAGGGAGAGCACAGCCCACTAGGACTGAGCCGCTGAAGAAGAAAAAACTAGCATCCAATCAACAGGAGAATAAACTCTTTCATTTGAAGGGCACAAGAAAAGCTAAGGAATCTGAAGTCACAAACCTAGATCCGAGGCTTAATCTGCTACTAAAGATTGTTCCAAGATGCTTCACCTGTCTGGGTGAGCCTCTGCCCTCAAGAGTCAAGACAAGAACAAGACCTACCTCCCAGAAACCAATGAGGCCTGATGTGTAGAATCACGTAACAGCATACAGCTCACAGACTACCTTCCCACTTATCATTTCATGGCACCCTTGAACACAGCCACGAGGCAGCTTGGTGTTATGAGGAGAAAAACTCCTCTTAGGTTTCCATCCGAGCTCTGCACAGAGGCCTGGGTGCCCCTAGGGCAGTCATCTCCCCTTCACTCTCAGGGGCCTCAGAGACATTCTTTTTATAAGTATCTTTGGCTTGGTTTTTAAACCAAGTCATTTCCTTAAAGAAAATTCTAAAATATAGAAAAGCAGAAATCAGGAATGATTCTACGAGCCTGTCCAGCTCTGCTGATCTATAAACCTGGGAGCAAGGAAGAGCAGAGGAGAAAACCAATGTGAGTTGCCCAGTGATTGTCTGGGATGAAGCTTTTGGGACATGCACCTGAGTCAGGGCCGCAGCCCTGGCTCCTCCCCTATACCCCCCACCCCCA